ACTAATGTTTTTTAGAAGAAAGGGGTTTTCAACTATGTTGCCCAGGCTGGCCTCAAGTGATCCTCCCTGTACTAGCTTCCTTCCCATGTCCTGCAGAGTAAGATATTCCTAAATTGGTATAAACTGACACCTGTCAATTGGTTTTTAGGGTGGGGAGTCAAGAAAAATGTTGAGGAAAGAATATCTATTTCTTAAAAGAAAGAAGTGGTTGGCTGACGTGGTGGCTTCACACCTAACCCTACCTAGCACTCCTGGAAGGCCAGGGTGGGAGGACACTCAAAGTCAGGATTTCAAAAACCAGCCTGAGAAAAATGAGACCCTGTTTCTACTATAACTAGAAAGAATTAATTGGACAACTAAAATATAATAGAAAAAAATTAAGCGGGCACTGGTGCGCATGCCTATAGTCCCAGCTACTGGAAGGCTGAGGCAGGATTACTGACAGGATTTGAGACTGCTATGAGCCTAGCTGACCGCATGGCACTCACTCTAGCCTGGGCAACAAAGCGGACTCTGTCTCCTGGTTTCTTTGTGTTGGTTATTGAGTTGTTCTTGCAGGTCGTTGAATTTTCTTATGATCTACATTTGAAATTCCTCTTCTGTCATTTTGGTTGCCTGATTTTGGTTGGTGTCTGTTTCTAAGGGGCTGGTGCTCCTCTTTGGGGGGGTGTTTTCCATTTGGCTTTTCATATTTCTGGAGTTCCTTCACTGATTTCTTCCCATGTCAATCAGTTGTTGTTTCTTTCATTTATTTATTTATTTATTTATTTATTTATTTATTATTTTTTTTTAAGAAAAAACTATCACTCACAATTTATTTCAAGGCCTGTAAACATTCAGACTAATCAAAATGGTACTACTGTAACTTCTTATAATACATAATATAAAACTTTGAAAAATGTGGACACAATTAACCCCTAAAGAACACACTATCTAATTCTCAAAAGCAATTGCTATTTAACAAAAAGTGACAATAAAATATCAAAAAATTCATACACTTAAGAGAACATAATTAGCAGCAAGCTAGTTAGACAAAACAAACACAAATGTTTTTACATTTTCCTAGTTTGTTTTCAACTTTGCTTCACAAAGCCAGTGACAATTGAGGCTTCCTTCAAGTACAGGATTTCTAACATTAAAAATTATATTTTTGAAATATTTTTAATAAAGAAATGAAAGCCACAAACTGCATAGTTTACCATAAATTCATGCATCAAAAAGTAAAACACAATTCAACTGAATTTATATGCTTCCCTCTTCTCCAATGGCTGTTTTTCTGTATACTTTATTAAAATCAAGGCCGGGCGTGGTGGCTCATGCCTGTAATCCTGGGAGGCCGAGGCAGGCGGATTGCTCAAGATCAGGAGTTCGAAACCAGCCTGAGCAAGAGCGAGACCCCGTCTCTACTATAAATAGAAAGAAATTAATTGGCCAACTAATATATATATTACTATAAGAAAATTACCGGGCATGGTGCAACATGCTTGTAGTCCCAGCTACTCGGGAGGCTGAGGCAGGATTGCCTGAGCCCAGGAGTTTGAGGTTGCTGTGAGCTAGGCTGACGCCATGGCACCCTAGCCTGGGCAACAAAGTGACACTCTGTCTCAAAAAAAAAAAAAAAATCAGTTCTAACTCATTTATGCAGATTAGGGAAAAGTGATTTATGAAGTATCTTTAAAATTACCTCCTACATACTTCTACCCTTACCCTCCTCCATCACCACCAAATCTATCACTAAAGTGAACAATGATGCAATGTGCTGAGGGGACCCAATCTGTAATCTTAAACTTCTAAATATCCAAGATTTTAACTTTCTGTCAACAAAAGACTTATGTGACCAAAATCACAGTAGGATAAAATCCATAATATTTAAGATTATTTAACTAAAACTTTATTTATGCCTTTCCCTCAGGCTACAAGCATTCTTTCGACTAGCATTAAATTACATTGTGCATACACAACTACAACAGCTTAGATTTGCCCTAGAACATAAAAATAGCTTTCTATTTCATAGTTTTACTGGCTTTTAGTTTTGGTAGGGAGGAAACAAGCATCTGTGTTCAAGAAATTGGTACATCTAAACAAACAGCTACATGTTCACGTAAATCTTGAGGAACCTAAAGATGAAGTTGGGGTTTTGTAAGAGATTGGGTCTTGATATGTTGCCCATACTGGTCTCAAACTCCTAGTCTCAAGTGATCCTCTTGTCTCAGCCTCTCGAGTGGCTGGGATTACAAGCATGAGCCATTGTGCCTGCTTTGTTTAAAATGCAATACACACCATTTACTTAATTATTGTTCATACAGTAAGGGACAGGATGGTATAACAGATGCAATCTCATTTAAGTAGAATATTCTTTTTTTTAATTTTGAAAACTAATGTTTTTTTAGAAAGAAAGGGGTTTCAACTATGTTGCCCAGGCTGGCCTCAAGTGATCCTCCTGTCTAGCTTCCTTCCATGTCCTGCAGAGTAAGATATTCTAAATGGTATAAACTGACACTGTCAATTGTTTAAGGGGGGGAGTCAAGAAAAATGTTGAGGAAGAAGAATATCTATTCTTAAAAGAAAGAAGTGTTGGCTGGACGTGGTGGCTCACACCTGTAACCCTACAGCACTCTGGAAGGCCAGGGTGGGAGGACACTCAAAGTCAGGATGTTCAAAACCAGCCTGAGAAAAATGAGACCCTGTTTCTACTATAATAGAAAGAAATTAATTGGACACTAAAATATAGATAGAAAAAAATTAAGCGGCAGCTGGTGCGCATGCCTATAGTCCCAGCTACTGGAAGGCTGAGGCAGGATTACTGAGCCCAGGAGTTTGAGACTGCTATGAGCCTAGCTGCCGCCATGCACTCACTCTAGCCTGGGCAACAAAGCGAGACTCTGTCTCAAAAAAAAAATGTTATTATCCAACAAAAATAAGCTCTATGATTCAAAAACATTTTTTACTGTCTTACTTACAAACAAATGAAAAAATAGACCACTTAGAATTGAGGCAGCTCTGTAAAAAAATTAAGATGGTACAATGATGTGATTTCAAAGGAATGAATAAAACAGAATTCACATTAGTAATAATATATTAATGCACCAAAATATCAAAAATAGTCTGAATTTTCCCTTAGATTTAAATAGACATCAAATTTTGTTTCATGTATTTACTTTTTAAGCTTCTCTGCTTAGTAGTATATGATATACAAGTACATCACGCTGGTATTTTACCATGAGATATATAGTTCTAATCTCAAACTAGTGACTTACTTTTTGACCTACATTTATAAACATTTCATTTCATCACAGGAGACACTTAATACCTTTTCAGTGGTACATTTCAGCCCTCTAGTCGCTGGGAAGCTTCTCTGTGGTCAGAGGCAGGAGGAACCCACGCAGCGTATCATCGGCGCCGCCGGGCCCTGTGCCGCCCCCGGCACCTCACGGCCGTCTCCGCCGCTGTCGGGTCCGGCACCTCACGGCCGTCCGGCTGGTCCGGGGTCCGGGCACCTCAACGGCGTCTCCCGGCTGGTCGGGTCCGGCACCTCACGGCGTCTCCGGCTGGTCCGGGCTCCGGGCACCTCACGGCCGTCTCCCGGCTTGGTCGGGTCGGCACCTCACGCGCCGTCTCCGGCTGGTCCGGGGTCCGGCACTCACGGCCGTCTCCCGCTGTCGGGGTCCGCATCACGGCGTCTCCCGGCTGGTGGTCCGGGCACTCACGGCCGTCCGGCTGTCGGGTCGCACTCACGCCGTCCCGGCTGTCGGGGTCCGGCACCTCACGGCCGTCTCCCGCTGGTCGGGGGTCCGGGCACCTCACGCCGTCTCCCGGCTTGGTCGGGTCCGGGCACTCACGGCCGTCTCCGCCTGGTCGGTCCGGGCACCCACGGCGTCTCCGGCTGTCGGCGGGTCCTGCACCTCACGGCCGTTCCGGGCTGGTCGGGGCAGGTCCGCCACC